TTCTGCTGATCTTGATAATAATTTGAATATTTTGCATTTGATTCCAATGTACAAACAAAGGGTTGCTAGGAGGCCATAACCCGCATAAGGCATCCAGTACCAAGCTGTTTCTATAAGAGTACGAGTTCGTATATGACTACCTATCACTTCGGCCTCATTTACTAGTTCGTCCAATTTTTTGCCATATAATTTAAAGTCGGATGTGTCTATCTTCGGTGATTCTAAGGATTTAAGACTATATAATGTTGCATTATCGATTTTGTTAAGATCGTCTTGTMATGATGTTATATTAAAGTGAATAATATCTAATTTGGTTTTCTCTTGATTTTCGCTGTTTGTGTTAMTTTGCGCGTCTAATATTGCTGTATCTGTTGCCGCAGTGCAACCAGGTCTCATAGATAATATGCATGGTTCTCTTATAGTAGTACTGTATAATAAATTATTACAAATGATTTTTATTTCTTGTTCGGTRGGCGGTATAGCAACCCAAGACCGGCCATTTGATAAGGCAATGAATGTGAGTGAGTTTATGACAAGCATGTGAGGTGTGCATTTGGAGGCGTCTACGTAATCTACAGAATTTATAGTTGACTTTAGACATGCACCTTGCATATTTGTGAGAAACTTGGCTGCTTTTCTTTTACAAATATATTTACCCTCTAATGTTTTACAATCTTTTAGGTATTCCTTGTCTATGGGTGTGATTACAGTTCTAGCTAAGTTTGTTAAAATGTATTCATATTGATTGTCTATATAGATGAACCGTCCTTCCTTACTTCTACCGGGTATGACTACTAGTTTAGTTGCTTTAAACATATCTTTTTCCATGATAGGGACTTTTATGTGATACAGTAGTCTATTTTTGATAGACGCTATGCTTATTTCACTAACGGTTAGATATTCAAAGTAATTATTATCGTTGATTTCTATCGGTAAGCGATCGGAGCCTTCCTTTGATCTAATTTGTAATAAGACGTCTTTTAAGAGCGCTGGTTCAATTAACTGTGGAGATATGTCATCCCTTCTAGCATTTATGATTGCCTGGTGGAGTAAGTCTAAGGTTCGTATATACTCGGTGGTTGCTACTCCTAAATCAAATACATGACTAAATATTTGTTCAGTTTCTCTACTGTTTGCGTTCTGCTTGGAAAGAGTGCTAAAATTTTCCTCTATGACCYTTAACTTATTTTTATAGTCTATTAACATTTCGTTGGTTTTTTCTAAAGATATCTTTACTAATTGGGTTTGATTTTTRAATAATTCCGCGTTACGCTTGCTATCCTTATGTACTAAATCTATTTCGYTATTATAATATTGCGCGTCGCTGGCACTCATAGTGCCAAATAAGATTTTACATATCTCGCCGAGCGGGTCGAGTAAACCTCGTCGGCSCYTTGTACTTGTTACTTGATGTCCAATGGAGGAGAATAGTCGCTCGCGACTGTCCTTAGCCATTAATAGTTGATGCTGCAGGTTGCAGATAGACGTTTTTTGAAGACAGTCTTTACAAGTTCTTAAAACAAGTGTCGTTCCTCGGATAAGGTGACGCTCATGGACCTCGAGATCGTTGAGGTCAACGTATGCGAGCAGAGTCCACGTAGAATGATAAAGACGAACCTCGCCTAGTTGCTCCAAGTAGACTGCGGGTAGTGTAGTGAACGTATGGATATAGTATGGAGGCCTCTTCTCCTGTAAGTTGCTGGATGATTGGCCTGGCAACAGGCTCATCAATATTATGGTTAGCAGCATTCCTGCAACAAATTGGTATTAGCGAATTTGCACCGATTACAATGTACAAGTAAGGGTTTCCCTTTAACATTTATTAATATATTGACGTCACTCGGTACATCAAGCACTTCATAAGGTCCTTCAAAAGGGACATTAGGACCGGTATTTTTATCACTTTTTTTTCGTTTTAACCAAACCATGTCTTCTTGTCTGTAACCGTTAGAACGGGCAAATCGGTCGTATTTTTCTTTGGAAGTCCTCTTTGCCTCCTTCAATGCTTCTCGTGCATTGTTACGCATTTCCTTTAGATGAGTTCCAAGTTCCTGAATGTAGTTTTCATATGTGTTTTTGAACTCGTTTGCGTGACTACTTATTGGATTTGGTGGTGCTCCGAATACTAGTTCGTATGGTGTATACCCTGNGGTGGAGAAAGTTAAAAGAAAAAGCATCTTAATTTCTGGTTCTGACGACCTCCTGGAGGTTTATACGCCATGGTTTTCCCTTCAGGCGGAATGAACTTAAACTCCGGGTGAATACCAGGTCGATGTGTGGTGTGGAGGAGGCCATGGCAATGTATGTCTCCTCTATACTGACTGTGCAGTACAAACACTATTTGATGCTGTATATATCGATATATCAAATATATATTGATCACATCCAAACCAAACTATATATTTCATATTTTAGTTACCATAACTAGCTCGTCTCATTTCTTCAAATTGAAAACTTGCTTACTGTGTAATATGTTATGTATTATATGTCAATAAAACATAAAATAATTTTTGAATGTAGTAACAATATTATAATAATAATATTATAATAATAATTTTTACAACAAATAAATCCTACAATTATTCGACAACTGATACTCTGCATTCGTCTCATTCTCTCGAAACTTAGTTTTTTGAAGGTTTCACTTCTAACACGTGTGATCTGCACACATGATTTATTTTTCCATCTGCTTTTGGTTTCACCGCCAACTTAAATCTTAATCTTTCCATATTTTGTAAAATATTTGCAGAAGATATTGTATTATAATGAGTTTTTCATTTGGTTAGAATCTTTGATACGTTATCTTTTCAAATAAAGACAAAGCTCTATCTTCTGCGAGACTCATGTCTCAGAAATGTCTAGAAAGTCAGGTCTTGTTGGGAAGCTCGCTGTGCCTAGGTTTCGTATCCCGTAGATATTCCAGAAGATTGCTTGGAATACTGGGGTCGGAGGGGGGGCCATCCTTTGTCGTTTTTTCTCTGCTGTCCTTTGGATTGGGTTTTTGCCACTGGCTGGATATTGTTAGAGTCAGCCTGCCAGTGGAATAGTTGTCCGTCAATATCGATGGTTTTATTACGTATCGTGGCTCTCTTCCCTGCCTTTTTGGCTTCTTTGGCTCTAGCCCTCAAGCTCAGGAAGATCTTTCAATCTTCTGGTGTGCGATCTGGCTCGATGTATACTTATTTTCCGTTTAGCTTATCTTTCTTCAGTTTTAAAATCGTACGTTTAATATCGGATGACTTCAGTTGGACAACAACGATGGAGCGAGTCCCAGGTTTGGACACCATTCTCGCCGAGAGCATCTGGTCTTCAACACCGAATGTGGCTTGTAAGAATGTGTTGACCTCGGTTAATAAAGTCTGGGTTTTTGCTCGAAGACCTTTAATCACGATATTATCTCTCCTACGATTTCTTTCCATCTCGTTTGCCTAGGTAGCTACTTCCTGAACCCTTTTGCACACTTCCGCGTAAAGGGGGGTTGGTGGATTGAAATTTGATGTTTCTTCTATTGCCTTGATTCTACGTTCCATGTCTATGATGTATTGGTCTTCCCGGGGGCTTTTCTCCAGTTTGTCGAGTCTTGCTCTTGTGTTGTCCTGGAAATCTTTGGTTTCCTGTTGGAAAACTCTGAACCTTTCATCCTTCTTTTCCATATCGGCTTTCAAGCTCTCTATTGATTTTCGGAATTCTTGCAGTTGCATAGAAAGAGTCGTGATGATGTGCCCTGACATAGCGTCCAGGAAAGCTTTAAGTTCCGGGGCTAGAGCTTTTAGCGGTGAGTTATTCTCGCCGTCCATGTTGTGACTGTCTAAGAAAAGTTTTCCTTGCTCTTTGCCCACTGCGTGGCAAAAAGAATCCAGATGTTTTGTGTTGTATCTCTTTACAGGTGAAAAAGGTTTTCAGAGTCTGTCGATGACGTTTCCTCACTACGCGTACGCTTACGTATGCGATTCACGTTCTTCGGAGTAGCGGAAATTGAAGTCGCAAAATACTCTGTGAGCTTTCTTTTGTTCTTCTCACCTTCGTTCTCCAGTTGTTCGGTATTGCTCGGACGGCCTCTCGATTTCGTATTCACCGCGTCGGGGTGCATCAGTACATTATCGGTAGTTGTCAGCACATCCCGGTCGCCCAACGCTAAATGCGCCATACGACACGTCACGGTCCTACTATTGACGGTTGTACACTGTTTATTATAATTGTTAGTTAATTGTTATTTAAATTAAACAATTATTATTATTATTGTTGTTGTTTTTTTTAATTATTTTTCTCCGATTTCTCGGGCATATTAGCGTGTCAGACAGGCCTCTTGCCAGGTCTGACAGCTTTAATCTCCTGAATTTAGGAAGGCTCTGGTTATGTTGCATTTTTTAAAGGGGTTATATACAGTTAGAATTTTCAAAAAATCGATTTTTTTTTAATTTTATTTTCTTAATGTACATATATTTAAGAATACACACAGAAAATTTCATATCGTTCCGGTGAATATTTTCAAAGTTACAAGCTAATTTGAAAAGGCGTTTCAGAGTGCTTGAAGTACAAGGTACAAACTTTAAACGCGTNAATCTGCAGGATTATCTTTTCCTGGTACATAATGCCATTTAGCTGTAGGGAGAGTTTCTTGAATTAAACAAACTCTATTATGAATAAATTCTTTCCWCCGAGATGGATGAGCATTTATCCAAACATGTGAGATTGCTGAGTCTGTCCAAAGATGAATTAAAAGTTTATTCACTTCGAAYTTTTGAAGGACATGATGAACTAATTTTGTAAGCATTACAGCRGCTGATAATTCTAATCGAGGAATCGTTAAACGTTTGATGGGAGYAACTTTAGTCTTTGAGCACAATAACATAGTATGAATTTTGTYATTTGAGTCTTTAGAGGTTATATAAATTACAGCGGCAAGAGCTTGCTGAGACGCATCACAGAACCCATGAATTTCACAGGGGTTACTGTGGGAYGTTTGAATCCAGCGAGGAATTGAAATCAAGCTCATCTCTTGAAAACTTTGAATCAAATTYTTCCACTRAATTGAAAGTTCTGTAGGCAATGGGTCATCCCAGTCAAGCTGATTAGTCCAAAGTTGCTGAATGAAGATTTTTGCATTGATTATCACTGGTGATAGTAGTCCAAGTGGGTCAAAAAATTTAGCAATAGTTGAAAGAATAGTACGTTTAGTAATTTTCGAATAAAAGGGAACATTCCATGTAAACTRRAATTCATCAGTGATTGGACTCCAATTCATGCCCAGTGCATGTACAACAGTATTTTTGTCGATGGTTACTGACGAAGCAAGAAGTTGATCARAAGAGGATATTGAATGAAGAATTRAGGGATGGTTGCTTATCCATTTTTTAAGAGGAAAACCGCSCGCCATGCAGAGTTGATTAACTTGYTTTACTGTTTCCTGAGCTTCCTGGATGGAATCTGCACCACYAAAGATATCATCAACGTAACGTCCTTCAGTTARAACAGAAATAGCTAGAGGATACTTTGATCCTTCGTCTTCAATTAGYTGTTGCACTGCTCGTAGTGCCAGAAAAGGAGCGCAAGCCATTCCATAGGTAACAGTYGTTAGTTGGTATGAGATGAAATCACCGTTCTCATTTTTCCAAAGAATTCTTTGGAAATCCCAGTCATCAGGATGTACCTTGATCTGACGGTACATTTTCTCAATATCCGATATGAAAACATATTCAAAAAAACGGAACCGTAAGAGTACATCTATTATTTCAGTCTGCAATTTAGGTCCAGTATGAAGAATGTCGTTCAATGATAATCCACTGGAAGTTTTGCAGGAAGCATTGAAAACAACTCGTAGTTTAGTAGTTAAACTTTGTTCTCGTATTACCCCATGGTGAGGTAAGTAATAGCAGTACTTAGGTTCAGTAGAGGAATCAGTTACTATACTCATATGTTGTAAATTTTGATATTCTTTCATAAATTCATAATAAGCCGTTCGCAATGACGAATCTTTTGAMAGTCGCTTTGATATGGACAGTAACATTCGATAAGCTGCGCTTTTTGACTCTCCAAGGGATTGAACTGGTTTTCTTAATGGCAATCTAACGAWGTAACGGCCAGTATTATCTCGAGAATGWGTTGCTTTAAAAWGATCTTCACACTCTTGGTCTTCTGGTGTCAAAGAAAAGGTATTATTAACTGGAATTTCATCTAGTTGCCAGAAYCTYTTTATGAGCTGGTAGAGTTCTTCATYAACAGACGTGTGAAAACACTGTTTTGAAGAGGTTGGAAGATTACCAGTGGGCCCGAAAAGAATCCATCCGAAAATAGTTGACTGAGCTGTAGGAGTATTACTTGAGCCTTTTCGTAGC